TGAGAGTATATATATATATATATATATATATATATATATATAGTACCACGGTTATTGTTAACTAAAACCATAAAAAATATATTTTTAGTTGAAATAAAAAATGTGAAATAAAATAATAATAAAAACATTTTAATTTAATTTATTACAGCTAATGGCCAAGGAAACATTTCTGATTTTCATTTAGTTTAACTTGATGTACTAAAATAACTACATAGACATAAATATTAACATCATGATTTTTTTGTGAAGCTGCTTTGAATCTATTGTGAAGAGTGCTATACAAATCAATTTGACATGACTTGAAATGTTCTCCTCCCATCAGATGAGTTGAAGCACATCATCGGGGCGGAAACCACACGCAAGGGCATCCTACGCGTCTTTGACATGTTCCAGCACCAACCGCTGAACCGCCGACTGGCCTGCGTCTTTCTGGAGGGCTTCCTGGAGACCTTGTTTCCTCAGTACAAGTTCCCCGAGCTGTTTGTGAAGCTCCACTCACGCTCGCCGCGCGTGCTCAGATATTCACAGAAATTGCGCAGCTTGCACAAGAGGTGACAGACAGACGCATCTCCCGCCGACGCAGAGGGGGAGGAGGAGCCAGCGGTCGCCCGCCGCAACAGAGCCGCCCCGAAGGTGACGCGCATCCCGGCAGCAAACGCTCGAACACACACCTCCCTCTTAGTGGCTGTTCTCGTTTAAAGCACTGTACTGACACGGCTGTAGCAGAGAGGATTCATCTTATCATCGTGAAGCGTTCGGTCACGTCTGAACCACTACGAAAAACTGCAGCGCCCGAGCACTGAGCCATCGCTCTTTCTGTTTGCCGTGCATTTCTGATCTGATGTTTTGAATGACACTGTGTAGATATATACGATTTATTTGGTTTATTTTGGGTTTGTTTTGTATTTGGCATTGGTCGCCTCATCGTCAGTACTGTATGGTGAAGGAAATCCGACCGAAGCAACCTATGCACCTTAACACTCATTACAAGCAGAACCATATGAGTAGGGTCGGCAGCGATGTTTTATGATCGTTTTGTGGCACTGAAACTGAAATAGGCGTAACGTTATCCTGCCAACCAATCGGTTGCATGAAGTGGGTGGGGTTTAAAACAGGCCACACCCCTCTGTCTTTTGCTTATATGTAATACTTAAGCTAATCTAAAATGACTTAAAGGAATAGTTCAGGAAAAAAAAGAAAAAAACTAAACAAAACAAAAAAACGCTGAAAATGTGCTCACCCTCAGGCCATCCAAGATGTAGATGAGTTTGTTTCTTCATCAGATTTGGAGATTTGTAGCATTCCATCACTTGCTCACCAATGGATCCTGAATGGGTGCCGTCAGAATGAGAGTCCAAACAGCTGATAAAAACATCACAAGTAATCCACTCCAGTCCATCAGTTAACATCTTGTGAAGCCAAAAGCTGTGTTTGTAAGAAACAAATACATCATTATGAAGTTTCTAACTTCAAAAAATTGCTTCTGGCCATAATATGACTCCATAATTAAATATGAACACGTCCTCCAGTGAAGTCCATTTCCTGTTGTCTCACATCTAAACCCACACACATATTTGTTTGGACTGTTTTGGCTTGTAAACGGTTGCTTTATCTGTGCAGATTTCTCTCCTGATTCAGATCAGACCACTTTTTCACTGGAGAAAGCAATATTATGCATAGAGGACTCACATTTTAGCTGAAAGCAATGGTTTGAAGTTAAAAAACCTCTTAATGTTGGATTTGTTTCTTACAAGCACGCAGCTTTTAGCTTCTCAAGACATTAACTGATGGTCTGGAGTGGTGTGGATTATTGTGATGTTTTTATCAGCTGTTTGGACTCTCATTCTGACGGTACCCATTCACTGCAGAGCATCCACTGGTGAGACACTGTTGCAATTCTAAATTTCTCCAAATCTGTGGAACGATACAAACTCATAGATGGCCTGAGGATGAGTGCATTTTCAGCAAATTTTCATTTTTGGTTGAACTATTCCTTTAATGATTATCTAAAGCCCTCAAACATATCAAAGCGGACAGAGATGGTGTAATTCAAGCGTATATTTGGATGACTACTTGGAGCTCTTCGCTAAGAAGATAAGCTTTAACGAATGTATGTGTCGATGTTTGTGTGCGTCCAGTTTTTATAACTCAATCCAGTGGAGGGTCGTGTTCATGTATTTTTTTGTTTTTTTAAAATGACTTTATTTTAGAATAGCAAGTGTAGCACTACACTGCAACTGTCTGATGCCGAAGACTGTTTCATCTTGAGATATAGATTCAGCCTTAAATACAAGACCAAGAGACGTGTGTTTAGACATAGCCCTCGTACGCACACGCTCTAAAGAGATACCGACTGTCCGAATCCCATTTTCAATCAGAAAATATGTCCTTCGTTTTTGTGCAATATGTTTCTTTAATGCATGTTATATAATAATCGTATATGGGATAGTTTAAGTATATTCGAGTGAAGAATTTCAGAAGCCAATCCAAAACCACAGGAAACTCTTCGAAACCACCGAAACATTCCGTTGTTGTAAATGGCTTATTTTAAAGGACTTGTTTTATAAGTCTGGCTTTTTAATGCTTGTGTTGGGGATGTTTTTTGTTGTTGTTGTTTTTAATGTTTCGTCACTCCTGAATTTTGCCGCGTTTTGCTTTTAGGAAACGAGTGAAAGCACATTGTAGGTGAACGGATGATCAAAACATGCGGAGACGCGAAAGACACTGCCGAGGTCAGAGGTCATCTAGCGTTTGAGCGCACAGATCTTAAACACTCTTTATTACTGGTAAACACTCTCCAGTCACCTTTGTGAAATATCTGCACTTTACAAGAACATGCACGGGTCATATTTCACCCCAAAGTTGATTTTGGTTTTGTTTTGCATTGTGACATGCTTTTTTAAAAATGATTAAGAAAATTTTTATGATTATGATTACTGTAATGTGAAAAAAAATCTCAAATATATATTACAATTTAAATAAATTATTATATATTAAAATATAAATTAACAATAATAAATTATAAAAAAAATGTATTTAATATTTTAATATATATTTTTATGTATATTATGCATACAAATAATGTTATTTAAATTATTACAAATAATCAAATCATTATTCTGATGTAAATTGAAATACAAATAAATTATGTTTGTTATGTAATAATTAGGCTCTTTGATTTTAGCAATGAGAATTGGGTAGAAAAATCATGGTCTATGCAAACATATCATTTATTTATTTAGATTTTGGAGCAAAATATGACCTGTGAATGTTCTTTCGTCTCGCATGAGATTGATGCTTGAGACCTGGTTCAGATCAGCAGAAATTGATGCGAATAGATGAGAACTAATTGTGTGTTTAAATGACAATAAAAGTAGCACTCGAACTCTTGATTGAAGGGGTTTGGCTCTTGTTTTGTGGCTGTTTGCTGTGATTGACCAGCAGTTTTACTCGTGTGATTTGCCGGTTCGTGGTCTTTCTCTACTGTGATTGGCTGGCACTGAGAAGCTAAACTCTGCTGTTATTGGTCGAGTCACACAGGAGCAACTTCCCCTTTACATCCACCAAATGGTCCATACAGGTGTTTCTGATTTGATTTTGTTTTCTGAATCCCTGTACGTATGAATCTATGAACATGAACTGTGCATATTGGTGTATAGTATCTGTCAGCAGTGTGCCTAAATGTACTGTCAATTCTATTTTCTTTAACAAAGCAAGTCGATTTGAATGTCAGCGGTCGTTTTAATAGACTGACAAGGATGCTAAAGGAGTAGAGTGTTTGCATTATGCTTCTAAAACATTCATTTTCAGCAGCTTTACTCAGTATAACACTAATAAAATGAACTCCAACTCACTGCCCTATTCAGAGTGCTGTCATTTACTGTCTGTGTATGAATGAATACTGTCTGACAGATGTAAACCACATGTAATATTTGTAGTTGGAAGAGTTTAGTTGTTATAATCGGATATGTCAACACCCCATGCTTTATATAAAAACTTTTTTCTCACTTAGGCCTGTGTGTAATTGTGCACACACATGCAATAAATCCGTGAGACGAGTCCCATGTGCCAATATTTGCGACTGCAAGCTTTATTAAAGAAAAAAGCGTGTACACTGGAGGCGTTAGATGGTAGAAAAGGTCACCACATTTACTGAATTTGTCTACAAGTTCAGATGTGATGCATGAAAAACCCAGAAGCAGCAGCAGCACAGAGACGCTCGCGATAAACAGCCTAATCTTCCCTTCAGACGAGAATGTAGTTGAATGTGTCTCTGTTCGGACTTAAATGCCTCTCTCTAACACACGCAGATTGTTTTGCGGTAGGAACGTTAACCCTCATTCACACCCACAGTCTCACAACTCGAGTCTCACATTCTGAGAAACTGAGTCGGCAAACATAATTTGAGTGCTAAGTTTTCTTTCATTCTGATCTGTGAAATGTGAAACTAGTGCCTTTCATGGTTACTACACTCTAAAAAATGCTGGGTTAAATAGGGACAAACCCAGCAATTGGGTTGTTTTGACCCAGCGGTTGGGTTACTACTCAAAAGGTTGTGTTAAACATTTATCCCAACCGCTGGGTCAAAACAGCCCAATTGCTGGGTTTGTCCCTATTTTACCCAGCACTGG